TATCGCACTAGGGCAGACCCAACATATTTTTCATGCAGAAAAACTTACACTAGAGCTTTGTGCACATGAAATATGACAGGCAGGCTGAGTTAAAAGCAATAGGTCATGTGAAGTAAGAAGTTTTAAATAGAGTTATTTTTTTGTAACGTTTTCGTTAATGGCATTTTCACCACTGATATATATATATATATACTCGACCAAGACCCGAGGGGTTAAATGCCTGGGTAGACTCGTACCCCATCCCTAAAAGGTCCAGGACTTGGTCGGCTCACATGTCCTGCATAAATCTCTTGGACCTGTTCACAAACCCCAAGATTTTGGACCATTTAATCTCGGGGAGTGATTTGGCGATGTCCTCTCCTTCAAAGATTTCGAATCTAGACTTAGCATACCTATCACACTGTGCGAGGTAGTGCCTTGCCGTTTCTTCTTTTATTTCGCAGAAGCGGCAAAAGGGATCTGGTAGGAAACCCATTACGAAGAGGTGTCTTCTCAGTGGGCAGTGGCCCGTCAGAATGCCTCCTAATTCCCTTCCTTGAGATAGAGAACAGCCATTGGTGTCCGGGGGATAAATTCCACTCCCTTGTTGTTGAATTGTTTTATGCCCCTGCTATTGATACTCTCCTTCGCTGTGCTCATAGAGTGAGGTAATAACGGTTGTGGCCCGACAAACGCAGTGACTTCTTTGACTTGGCCATCCGCCTTTTCATTGCCATTGTGTCCTTTATGTGCTGGTATCCAAATAAGGGTCACCTATTTCACCACTGATACTATACCAGCACTACAGAAACCGAGACTGGTACACAACATTAGTGATTATGAGACGAGAAGGTCTCTAGGTCATGGTCGTTTTCACTGAGTACGAGTGAAAGTGGACTCGTAATACGAGAAAAAAGTGGAAAAAGAAGCACCTATAAAACAAAAAAGGATGAATGGATCTACTGGGAGAGGCGTTATAGGGCCAAAACTATAAACTTTCCAGCACTGGGGCAGACGCAAAATATTTTTCAAGCAACTTGAAATAGAGCCAATGTGCACATGAAATCCCCAAAAAGAGGACGGAAGATGCCAAAATATTCTGACAGCGGTAAAGGCCAAGTACTTCGTATGAAGTAAACTCTTGTTTGTGGGTAAACAAACGGCACAACTGAGGTCATTATGAGGTTATTTGCATAAGTTGGTAGAAGGATTTTGATTTGAAGGAAGCCCTGGATATTGGACCCCACGGGTCCAACTCTGAAGAAAGTAGTTAGTATTGGGTTGTCCGGAAAATAATGCAGGATTTTAAGTTTTCATTAAAAAAAATCTATATAAAATATTCTGTTTACGTTTACAGGATTACTCATNACCAACACGTTGGGAGAAATGTATTGAGAGTATGGGAAATTATTTTGATTAAAGAACATTGCTTTAAAGTAACTAGTTTCTTTTTTTTTTGTTTAATACCAAAATCCTGCATTATTTTCCGGACAACCCAATAATAATATCTTGCATAAAGTCTTCTGTTCATTTTGAAAAATAAATCCTTACACTAGAGCTACCTGTACATGACATCTATTGGGACGAAACAACTAACTTTGATGAAGGTCCCTGGACAAGAAGGTATTTGAGAAACTGCAGATAGACGAGATTGTCTCGTCATCCTTATTGGAGCAGAACCTTTCTGTAGGGTAACCGAGACTTACCTTACTAGCTCCTCACAGAACATAAAAGCCACTGGATGACAACCGCAGTGGCCGAGTGATTAAGAGTCCATCTCGTAATTGCCACGCTTGCGGTCCTGGGTTCGAATCCCGCCACAGCCAGTTTTTTCATTGAAAATTGTCAGGAAGATGTATTTTTAAGTGGGTTGACCCCTCGCCCCTGACCCCAACAGGTAGTTTGACGTTAAGCCCCCTTTAACAGACTTCAATTATTTTAAAATTTGCACTGTATTCGGTGATGAAACAATAAGTGAAATAAGTGGGTCAAAATGTTTGCTTCTGAGAATGAGTGGATTGAGGATGAACCACGGTCTGATAGACCTTTTGTCTTGAATGACGACCAATTGAGGGAAGTTGTCGGTCTTGATTCGAGTCAAGCATGTCAGAGGCTTACCGGAGATATTCAATACAAGCGATGGAACCATTCGCTCTAGATGATGTCGACTTGGGAAGACGTGGAAGCTAAAATGGGTTCACCATAAAATTGGCCGAGGGTAACAAACTTCAGCGTAATAGTAAATTTGACTTTCTTTGCTTTCACGTCAAAAGTCGAGAGTGATTTTTGAACGGATTGTCACAAGCGACGAAAAATGGATCTTGGTAACACCGCGGGTCGTACCATTAGCTGTCACCAAATGACACTGTCCCAAATTCGCGGAAATCAAATATTCACCAAAAAAGGTGATGCTTTTTGTCTGGTCGAGTATAGCAGACATTGTGCACTAAGGACTTTTGCAACTTGGCCCGACCATGACTACAGAAATCTACTCAAACCAACTGCAACGAGTATCTCTTCCTCTGGCTAAAAAATAACCTCCTCTTGCGAACAGAAAAATTGTAACTTTTCACCAGAACGAAGAAGCCGATAATGAAGCTCGGTTAAGAAGTCCTACCTCACCGTATTCTCCAGACCTGGCCCCATACGACTCTCACCTTTTCTTAGCAATCATATGCGCAATCGGGAGTCCGATAATCGCCGACAGCTGGAAAATCCTGTACAGTAACACCAGGAAGGTCGTACTGGCTGTCACTAAATGAATGATTCACATTGACGCGAAAACCAAGTATTCGAAGAACAGGTGACAGTCTTTGTTTAGTCGAGTACAGACATTGTGCACTACGAACAAATCACGGTAGAAATCTACTCAACCAACTGCAACAAGTATCGGTTGCCCAGACCCAGAAACATCCTCGACCTCTGAACACAAGTCGTTGAGCCAATTACGGTTCCTTTCCGCTAATCAATCAGTGAAAAGTGGATCCTATTTTTTAACCGGCAACCTACCGTTGTGAACGTGCGGACGTTGGCGTCATTCGCACATCATTCATAAAAGGCGATTGTGTGCTTTAGAATCATTATCTTGAAGTTCGGCAGAGTCCACCGGGGTGAGACAATGAACATTTCAATTTATAAAACGTAAATCCGTCCTTTATTTAAGTCCCATTGTTTCGCATTATATAATGTATAGACGATGTGTTCTTGGTTTGGAGCCATAAAAGGATTTAAACTGTTTCGAGTGGGTGCAACGGTCGGTATAAGTGGGCGACATGTAAGTGGGAAGTAACTGAACCGAGTGGGATGGCCTGTCAATGTCACAGGGACGTATATTTTATGCCTTTTTTTCTTCTTCAATAAGTTCAACGAGCGGTTTTTATTTATAACGACCTTGCGGATCCAGGAATGAGTGTAGAAATTTATTAAAAATCAGTAGGCATTTCGTCCTATATCTTCGCATAGGTAAACATGAAACCACAGGATCTAGGTTAATGAGATTATTCATGGTCGACCTAGTTTGGCAAGGCAGAAGAGATCAAGATTCGAGGATTAAAAAATTCATAAGGTTGACATGATTGATGAATGTTATTCGCTACAGAGGTCCAACAGCAGTTGACACACGAGCTGCAAAAGTTTTTCCAAAAATATATTTGATTTGTATTTTTTTAAACGACTCTCCAGACGGATATCTTCCATGCTGCTAATATTTAAAAGAAAAATTTATAAATAACAATGTGCAATAAAATATATTATTATTTATTCAAGGCAAAGTCCAAAGCACAAACCCGCAATCGATCCACGGCCGAATCCATCCAGCTCAGTTGAAATACACGAATCCGTATCCACGACCCCAACAGGAATAACAGTCATAGTACAGCCCTTTGTTGTTAAATTAACAAAAAAAAATTTATTAGAGAATTCGGATATTAAATCTTGGAGGAATGACTGGCGGTTTGTGAAATAAATGAAATTCTACCGATAGGCTGTAATACAAGTCCAAAGGTAACGAATCGAGTAACTCTTGAACTGTTAATCAAACATAACATAATTATTTATATTTTCCTAGGCCTTTATTAAAGCTTCTTTTTTGTATTGGGATTGGTCCATCTTTTGTGGCCCTCCAATCACCCACCCTGATTTGTGCAGTCCGGGGTCAGACCTTAGTGTTATCCGTCCAGCTGCCGAGTTTGGGCTCCCGGTGCTGTCGACAGCTGGATCAATTCAGAACCTAATGCAGTTCCTAGATGCAAACGTAAAAATGTACGGTTCTTCCTAGGTCTTCCAGCTTGAAGTCTATACAATTGAGAGATGTACCCGGTTTATTTGAACAAAGTGTACAAAAACAAGAATATAGCTATGTCAATAGGCAGCCATCAAAGTACTAAGCTCAAACATCATTAGCTCGAAACTCGTGCTGAATTGCAAAAAAAACTAAATTCAGTCTAAATTAAGTTAAGTTAAGCTAATCACAGTCACCCTCTGCTGGGTGCCAGGACATGTGGGAGTAGAGGGCAACGAAAGAGCGGACGCCCTTGCAAGTAAACGAGCTGGGATACTTCAGTTAAGCCATTTCGGATCATTTTGGCCCCCCCATCATCGTTTTTTTTGTCTAACTGCCCTCTTAGACATAACAGAAGAAAATTCACAATTTTCACAAAACGGAAAGGTCCGAACTATAGGCTCACCACGCAGGTCTCGCAAGTTTTGGATGGAAGTGAAGAAAAACTCAGCAGTAGAGTTTGGCGTGAGCAAAGCCTAGATAACACCGTTAATACTATTTAAAAAAAATACTAACAAAACATGATCGGGTCAGCGTAATTTATGTCGTCTTTTTAAGCATCGCGGGTTACCTCAGCAAGGGATTTTTCATGCGGCTCGGGGCTGAAAGTAACTTTGAACATTTTTCAAGTCTTTCAATTCTTAAAATTCACTTTGTACCTTAGTGCATTGTTCCTCTTGTTATTTCCTATTATCCTTCCTCTTTCTTACTCTATTTCTCATACAATTTTGTATATTTTTAGATTATAAGACAACCACAATATGGGAGGCTTTCAACAGAGGCCTTGGACTCCCACAAAAAGGCGTGGACCGATCGCTGCCGAATACACCAGCCCTGGACCGGCATGTGTGACATTGCCAAACCTCTTAGGTAAATAGTTTTATAAAAAAACGAAATAGTTCATGCACTAGTCGAAAATAGGTGTAGAAACATCGATTGACTTGTTTTGCCGTTTCTTCTTAATATTCGACTCTGCCAGTCTTGTTTTCACACTAGAAAATTAACTACTCAACATTTTTTTTACATCCATTATATTTAGTAGTCTATTGGCCAAATTACTTCTTTCAATTAATTAATCTTTTTGCGTAAGGTTTTGGTTGAGACGAAAAAGTTAGTGTCACGAGCGGGATTCGAACCCACGACCTCCGGTTCAATACGCTCGAACCACTTGAGCTATCGTGATTAGAACCACTCGGGCACCAACTCCCCATCTCGCCCTACAACCGTTCGAATTTTCCCTCCTTTTGCCATTTTTCAGCTCACCTCAGACAAAAGGGAGGGGGCGTAAGTATGTGTTATGTATCGAATTTATCACCATAAAGGTGGTATAGATTTTTCCATAATGTGCTTGTGGTCATATTTGTGTGCCCTATTCGTAATCGACATAGTACAACCTTATCACGCCTGGAAGTTCGGAAGGATGTTTTCCAAGGTTTAACAGTCCCTTTTAGAGTTGCTTAATTTGTTGGAAGTCATTTGTTTCCACTGATTTTTCCCAATTTTCAATTAATTTAAGTTTGAAAGCAGACTTTCTACTTCAGGATTTATTAAAACTGAGATAATTGTTCTTTGCAGCTTTTGCTGCGTTGTCAGCTAGGTCATTTCCCTTAATCCGGGGTCAGTAAAGGTCGCTGTCATGTCTTGTCATCATAGGACTGCAGGACTACGAGTTTGATAGGACGTAAACATTACACACTCTGGACATAGCTGAAGAAGGAAAAGTGAAGGTGTTTAATGAACACTTCCATAATATTGCCTTCTACATATACGCTGATGGGAGCCAGCCAGTTAATTGTGCATTAGTTTATGATTAACATAATAAAGAAAATAGGCCGAACTGAAATACAGACTCTACGAGAGGCGCTCCAATAATCAAGCCGAACAACTTGCTCAACTTAAAGCATTGGAATAGATTGAACATTAGGACTTATCGAACGGCGAAATAGCTGCTTTGATCCGACAGCCGGGTAGCTATTGACTAAGATCAAAAATCCGGACAACCACCGGCTGATTGAACAATCAAGCGGAAAATTACCATTTTAAAAGGGTTGGGCATCGCTTTAAATCTTCAATTGGGTTAAGGCCCGTGATGGACTCGAGGGAAACGAGATCGCAGACAAGCTAGCTAGCAGAATCATCCGGAAATGATGAGTTAACTTTATGGAAGGAACCCTAGATCTCATGTAAAGGAACTTAGACGTAGGAAATACACCGAAGACTGGGAGCGGGATTGGCAGTCTACCTCGAAGGCACAGCATACGAAACTATTTTCCCCAAAAATATTAAACAGATCTCGAGTAGATTTCTCCTTCAACTGAAAGATCACAACCATATTGACAGGACATGGACCTTACACGGGCTATTTCCATCGGTTCAAAATTAGAGAAACACCCTTCTGCATGTGCAACAACAGTAAAGAAACAATTCATCATGTTACGTCTGCCGATTTTTAGATGATGTCAGGATGCCACTCATTAGACACATACACCGCGAGGAAGTGGACAGTGGAGGGGAAAAAACACTGATCTACCAGGATTTCTGTGTTGCATTCTCACAGTTTGTGAAAAATCCAGGATCTAAGGGGGGTGTAAAACGGGAATTACCCCCCCCCCCAATATGTCGTCCCCAATCAGCGGCCCTGCATTCGAACCCGGGACCTTTACCTCACAATGATCCAAGTTGTTCGGCTTCATTATTGGAGCGCCTCTCGTAGAGTCTGTATTTCAGTTCTGCCTATTTTCTTTATTATGTTTATCATAAACTAATGCACAATTAACTGGCTGGCTCCCATCAGCGTATATGTAGAAGGCAATATTATGGAAGTGTTCATTAAACACCTTCACTTTTCCTTCTTCANAAGTCCTAATGTTCAATCTATTCCAATGCTTTAAGTTGAGCAAGTTGTTCGGCTTGATTATTGGAGCGCCTCTCGTAGAGTCTGTATTTCAGTTCGGCCTATTTTCTTTATTATGTTAATCATAAACTAATGCACAATTAACTGGCTGGCTCCCATCAGCGTATATGTAGAAGGCAATATTATGGAAGTGTTCATTAAACACCTTCACTTTTCCTTCTTCAGCTATGTCCAGAGTGTGTAATGTTTACGTCCTATCAAACTCGTAGTCCTGCAGTCCTATGATGACAAGACATGACAGCGACCTTTACAGTACTGAACCTTTCGCTGTTCTGCTTGATTTTCAGTCCTATTGGAAGTTGGCTACTATACACGCCGCCTTGTATGATATAATATTTTATCTTTAATCATTCTTAGGGCTATCAGGCGTTGACCCTTTCAAGCATTCTCAAAAGCTTTTTTTATCTGTAGGGCGCTTTCCCAAGCTGAAGGCCATCAAAGGGCGGCTTGTTGTTAATTTATTTTTTGAAAAAGCATACAGTTTAATTTTTTTAATCGCCAACAGCAGCGTTTATTCTCCAGTACAAAGGAAAATTGTCCGGAACAGTGATCTTATATGTGCTCGTTAAGACCGAAACACTGGTGCCTCTGACAGCATGCGTCGTCTCAAGATTCTAACGATAATGTGTCACATTCCGGTTGTTAAATACCATTTAAGAAAAATTCCCTTCACTGTTCGTGTACTTAAACAGCTGTATCAACTGACCAATCCGACAAATGGGGATAAAATTAATCCCCTTGATTAAAACTAGAAATAGGTAGTAGGAGTGACAAATTGGCCAACACCCTCTTCATTCGTGACAGATTGATAATAGTATATATTATTTTCTAGGCGATCCAATTTGATCAACAACAAAAAAACACCTTCCTCGACTGAAAATAATCAACCTTGAAGGCCAATTTTAATTTATACCCTTTTATAAATGCTTCCAAGAATGGGCATCTGCCAAATCGTACCCTTGGCTTTCATTTCCAAAAAAACCAATTGTTAGCTTACAAGGTCTATAAAAGTGTTTGCCAAAAGGTTAAAATCAATCCATTTCTTTTCCTTCCTAGTTGGTTAGCAGAGGGAGAAAGAAAATCCAATAAAAAGTACAAAATATAAAGTACAAAGGAGGGAAAATCCGAAAGGTGGGTTGTGATGGGAAGTTGGTGTCCGAGTGGATCGAAGTCACGATAGCTCAAGTGGTAGAGTATGGGCGTATTGAGTCGAAGGTCGTGGGTTCGAATCCAGCTCGTGACACTGACTGTTTTATCTCAACCAATGCCTTACATAAAGAGTTAAATTAATTGAGATAAAGTTCAATGTTTCTCAAGATAACACTTCTTACCACCAGCTTATCCGACGCGTTGGATCTCCCACTCTTACATATTCATAAATTGGGTGGCTTTGAAGAGTGTCAAGACTCCTGAGGTACAAATAAATACACCCAGATCTAAGGTGATACCAGAAAAAATCCCGGAGAGAATTAAAATAAATTAGATAGCTATAATAAAACCTGAAAAAATGCCTTTCATTAAGGGCTACCTAGGTACTTTATTTCTTAAGAGAAGGTGCTTCATGTTTTTAGAGAGTGTGCTTCTAGGTTTAGCTTCCTTTTCTTGTAAAGAGCATGAGAGATGTTTTCTTAGGGTTGATATTTAAACGCATTTTCCAGTGCCAACACTCGATCGATATCCGAAAAAATAAAACCAGATCTAAGGAGAAGATATCACAAAATTCTAGAGAGGATGAAAACAAATGAGACGGCAGTTAATTAGAGGAAAACTCAACTTTGGTAGATCCTTCAAGTGGTCATAGAGTACGGAGATTACAAAAGACATGCAACCCCAATTGGTATGAAAGAGGCTCTAAAATTGTACACAGGTAGATCAAGTATGGAACAAGGGTTAGGTTTAGGGGTAAAAGGGTTGAATTACCCTAGTAAAACTCCCTGGTTCCAAGTATCTTCCAAGCTGAGGCCCATGAAAAAATGAGAGTCTTTGAGGAACCATTTAGAGTTGTTACACCAATGTGCAAGGCTGGACAAAGCATTTTCTAGTATACTAAAGTACTTACTGATGATGGAAGGAAACGCTCAGGCTGGCCAACTAGCTAAAGAAGTCTCCCTCTCAACCATGGAACCGCAACTGAAGTTCGAATTGGAAAAATGCTTGAGAAAGAAAACCCAAGCACAGTACAAAAACACCAGGTATGAGGCAGGCTAAGAGATTTATAAGTCTCAAAAAGGAAAGCGAAAGAACTCCTCTCTTTCAGCAGGCAATGTTTGAAGAAAGTTGAAGGCCTCGATTCTTTTGATTACCTTCTAAAGAAGATGGGCATATGAGGGGCAGAAACGTGCAGAACAAAATCCAAAGACACCATCACATTTATCTTGTGAATGTGAAGCACGAGCCTGGTTGACACCACGTGACGCTCCTGAGTTACAAACAAATAAATCCAGATCTAAGAATAACGGGAATAAATTCCTGGAGAGAATTAAAATAAATAAGATGGCTATGCTGAAAAAATGTGTGCCTTCGGTCAAGGGTAAGTAACCTAGGTACTTAGTTTTGTGAGGTTATAGATTCATAGAGTGGGTGTCGTTTGCTTTTTCTTCTTGTGAAGGTATGAGAGACGTTTTCTTAGGGTTGATATTTAAACCCATTTTACCGTGACTGACTCGTAAGATACAAAAAAATAAAAGCAGATATAAGCTATATAGGCAAGCTGATGGTACCTGAAAAAATGAGAGGGAAACCCAACTGGCAGATCAAGCAACCCCAAATATCAGGAAGGGGGCCCAAATATGGTACACTGATGGATAAAAAGGAAACAGACAGATATAAAAGCACTAAACGCGTATGGTAATGATCCTAGGAAAGCACAACAAGGTTAGCTTGAGGTTCCGAGAAGAAGGTGAAGAAGAAAATAAACAAGCTGGCCAACTAGCCAAAGAAGAAGCAAAACTAGGCGCACCGGAGAATTTTCTAAAATATGAGCTGAAAAAATAGCTTGAGAAAGAAAACCTCAACCAAGGGACAAAAGCTCCAGACATGAGAAAAGTTAGGAAATTTATAAATTTCTCAAAAAGGAAGGAGGAGGTACTCCTCTATCCCGCATTTCTGCTCAAAGGGTGGCGGGTCGACATACTTTCGGACAGTCAGGCAGAAGTACTAAGTGCGTGTGCTTTTTAGCTTCTGGGAAGGCTGAAATTGCCTGATGGCCCAACACAACAAAGTTACCATGAGAGTCTGGGATGAAGGTGTACAAGGAAACAGACAGATTGACTAGCCAAAGAAGAAGCACAACTAGACCCAGCGGAAGTGTGCTAAAGTTGGATCTGGAAAAATGGCTTGAGAAAGAAAAATCAAGCACTGGACACGCGCACACAACATAACATTCAATTATGTCGTGAATTTCGTCATCATTATCTTTCGAAATATCGTCCTGATCTTTGAAACATCATTTGCAGAGTGTCAATGTACAGGTTCAGGGATGGGCTTAAACCGAACTTTGACAATGAAAGAATACAATTATATTGCCACTGAACAATTTTTTTGTAGATAAAGGACTAGGACTAAGGACTTATTGTTCAATAAGCAGTTATTTACAGTTCTTAAATATTCGAGTAGTAAATAACATAATTGATGGATTTTCCAGGTACATCCTCCACTGATTCCAAAAACGGAAGAGCTCCTGCGTTTAGTTTTGGTGCTAGGTAAGTTTCAGTCACTGAAACAGGTTTTTTTTCTTTTCGATGCGCTTAATTTATTCTGTTTTTCAGGCATGGCGGCAAAAATGACACTGTAGGACCTGGTCCAGGACAGTACAATATTACCGGACTCAGCTCAAAAGGTATGTAGACCTTTGATATCAGATTATGGTGTAGTATCGAACATGTTGATATTCGTCACAAAATCAAAACAAAATATTGGGGAAAACAGAATGCAGCATAGCTTACTGAACTTGATGAACAAGCAAAGGGTTTCTGTTTCGCGCCATCTTCAGTGAAGACACCAAAACCCGCGAGAGTAAATGGACCCAATTCCGGTACAAAATGTGTTCACCGACTCGCAGACCAACACCCACCTTCAACTTTTACAGGCAAACATTTTAAAGTTTAAAGGTTAAGATTAATGTTTGAAAATGAAGGAGATATTTATTTGGGGAGATCTGCTGATTCAGAATCGGACGTGGTGACTCAATGTTGTTTGAGATCTTGTTGACAAGTCTGCCAATACAAGTTGAGTTTCTACTTGTATACAGAGGTGCTGCAAGCGTCAGCAGAAAGCAAAACCTTTGTTGAAGCGGTGATGACAGCTAGTGAATAACTAGTTACCCACAGGTGGTCACTACATAACTACCCCCCAATGATTGAGCCTCTCAGGCGAATGAATTGAAGAGTGGCGTGTTATTTTTAGCGCGTTCTCCCTTTCACCAAAAATTATAACGTCGAGAGTCGGTAGCGAGCGAATGGCCCCGTGCAGCAGGCAGCCACATCGAAATTGAGTATAAGAGAACCCTAGTTGTTGTAGCTAATGATTCTTCTGTTCTTTGCACCACATTCCTCCTAGTCACCAAAAATGTTTTCAGGAACATCATCACATCGGGCAGTCACCACTTTAGTGAGTGGGTTTTCGGTGGCCCTGAGAACTGACGATGGAGTGAGAGGAACTTTTGGTTCAAGTCTGTGTCCTGTGTCAATGAGCCGGTTGTTGTTATAGCGAGCGAAGCGCCTAGTGCAGCAAGCAGCCATGTCAGCAGTACAGAGTACCCTTCCTGTTTATAGCTAGTGCTAGCGGCTTGCTCCATTAGTGAATTTTGAGACCAAGTTAAGCCTTAACTTGTTAACCACAGGAAGTCATCATAGTATTAATACAATTATAAGAAATAATTGCATTTTGTGGTTTTCGATCATCCTTGTCGTATCATGTTATGATGCACCATCGTCATTCGGTTGTTATTCCACCAAAGATTATCAAAATGGACAAACTGCTAGTTCATCGTCCCCAGATTGTAACAATAATTTAATAAACTAAAAAATCTCGTTTTCACAGGTAAAGATTGTCCTCCGGCTCTTTCTCTCCATTCTCGAAATAAGGACGAAAAGCATGACAACACACCAGCTCCAGGTTATTACGATTTAGAAAAAAGCGACAAAGCGACACACGATTCTTCACCAAAGTTCACGTTCGGTTATAGAACACATTTAGAGAAGCCGAGTTCGACGCCTGGTAAGGAGTGCGACCGACTTTGAATGTGGACAGAGTAACTTGTCATTCCGTTTGTTTCAGCACCTAACGTCTACAAAATCCCCGGGGTCTTGGGGGCGACGAAGGAAGGGAACAAGTGTTCAGCGCCGTCGTTTAGTTTATCCGGCAGGTCGAAAGAACCAGTCGACGATAGAGTCAACACACCGGGCCCTGGGACGTACAACTCCATGTCCGACGTGACCCTGCCCAAATCTCCCGCATACTCCGTCGCACCGAGAATACAACCTCCCAGCGCCAACAACATCAAACCCGGCCCAGGAACCTATTCGCCAGAGAAGGTGAGCCTTAACGTCATCAGACATGTAATTTTAACCTCATTTTGTCTAATTTTTCTTTGCCTAGTATCGCTCATTGTGAATTTTGATAAATGAACTTTGGCAGATACTAATTAGAATGGGAGGTACGAGGAGAAATCAGATAAGATTTTTTTTTCATTTAAATCATTGGCATATTTCCGCAAGCATCATTGTCATCACAGAATTTTTTTCATCATCTAAGGAGTTAGTGTTTCACATTTAAACATACGTGTTTTATTGTATTGTATTCCTTACAATCTACTATAGCGGGTTTTACATTTAATAAGATAAAGACCGCTTTGACATCCTTCCCCATCATTCCACGATCCAGCAAGTCTTCAGAATCGTTAAAACCTTCGTTCTAAATAAAAACACTATGCGGTCCTGGATATGACCCAGGCTTTTGATAGTGTCTGGCAACCAGATCATTTATAAAGTTAAACGTTTCCTGCCCACTCTTGTTACCTTATCATAGAATCGTATTTAACTGAATGCTGCTTCAGAAAGAGGAGCGACTACGAATATTAGACCAATACGTCGTCCCACAAGGAAGCATCTCGGTCTCCTTTAGCCATTTTCTATTCCTATACATGCCAACATCACCATTACCACCTACGCGGATGGCACCGATTCTTCTAGACTGAACAGTATCAAAGGAATCTCCAAGATCACCATGAGTTTATCAAAAGCTAACAAGTGCCAAAAGTAGAGGACAAGACTGAATGAAGAAAATGTACCTAGTCTCAGATATTTAGGATGATACCCAGACAACAGACTGACAGAAATACCTATACAAGACTTAAAACAGCTTTACAGAAGACATGGAGTACTGAGACTTTTTCAGGGCATACTTGGGGTTATGCCAGGCCAATAACAAATCAAATCTTTCCAATCCTGAGTCCTCCTGAGAAAAGAAACGAGAAATAGCGAAGTGGGTAAGATGTCCCTGAATTTCCAGAGCAAACACAGGTGCCAGTCTAGATCGCAATGTTCGACATCGAGGAAGACCCTTGAACAGACTTCTCAAGATACGCGACGATGTCCATAATACTGTTAAACAGACGAATTGTGACCCATGAATCCAAATTAATGGTTAGTAGAGGATTCGAGGATGGGTTTTTCAAATTTCCCAAGAATTGAAAACTAACTGATGTAGGAATTCGGTGGTGTGATTAGTTGGGTCAAATCCAGGAGCTTTCCGAAGCAGTAGATTCTTCAGATGATAGATGTTAGTGATAGTCCTCGCTACCCAAAATATCGAATATTTATGTAATCTTAGGATTTTATTTTACATTCCGATGCCTAGACGAACTTGCGTTTACTTTACATCATTTCTCACCCATTAACTAATTCGGGGAATTTTAATACCAAATTCTTCTTTACATAACTATAGCCCGTAGCCTCGATACGGTTATGTTAAAAAGACGAATCCAATTGATGCTCGAGGTCCCTATTTGGATCACGACTCGTCACAAAGAAAAACCCCTCAAGTCACATTAGCAATGCACATTTCATTTCAAGAATATATCATTAACAGGTTGGATAATATGAAGATTGTATATAAATTAGGGGTCTAATATCGTAAGAGGCGCGAAAGATGTGTCATGTGGTGTTTAAAAATCTAAAAATCTTACACGGAAACAACTCTTTTTTTAATTTAAAAATCAACTTCAAAGGAGGGGATAGGGGATAGGGGGATAAAAGAGGTTGCCACAAGGCCTTCTGCACCACAAACTGAGTGTGAGACCTATTGTGCTCCTCTAATTTTATAAATCACTGGCTAGCTCAGGTTGTTAATCAACCATCTTAGCCTTGCCAGCGGCTCCTTAGTGTAGAATCTTGTTTGCGACTTCTCTCATAAGTGCAGGAATCCTACACCTACATAAACCCTCACAGAAGCATAAAACGTGTACTGCCGACTACTTTTCTTCCTGGCAATATCTGCTTAGTGTTTCTTCTGCAAGGTGCAGTGCATTCATGCGGATTACTTTCCAGTAATTCCTTTGTAAGTCTATGAATTACGTAAGTCCAGTAATTCCATACCTCATGCCTGGGGTGTTGTTCCCCCTGATTTTAGACTCCATCCATTTTTGTATTTGTTATTTTTTTGGCTCCTTTTTTTGGAGAACATATCCGCCGTCTCATTGCCTTTATGTCCCGAATGCCCAGGAACCCATGCCAGGGTCAGGTCATTGGTGTACACTTTTGCCAAGGATTCCAGGCGTTAAGTGCCGACTGTCGGAAAAAATGGCTCTTCGTGGAATGTGTTCCTATTCTTTTTATTTCTCTTACGCAGTGTTCAATTGCTATAACTTTAGACTGGAAAACAGTAGCTTATTTACCTAAGTTTAAATTCTGTGAGCCGCTGCTCTGGTTTCTCTTTGGAATAGAATGTGGTGCGGTGGAAGTTTTAACACCTCCAAGCCCGCAGTTGGCGTTGAACTCATGTCTCCAGAGGCACTGATGCAAGCTTGTCTTTGAGTACCAATTAATAACCTGATCCCCTTAGCCTGCAAAGTCTTGGTTCATCACACCTCCGACCCATATGTCAACCAGAAGAGGACAGGGGTTGGCATCAGTGCACAGACAAACTTAAAAGGGCTCATAACAATTCCTATGGAAATGTCCAAATTCCCGAGGGATCCGGGGCACTATACGCCCAAGTCAGCTGCAACACCCAAACCCGGCAGTTCTCTTCTGAAAGTCACGTCAGAATTTACTAGGTAAAATAATTATGTCGCTATAATTAAGGTTGTTATGTCGAAAGACGAAGCTAAATCGAAGAGTGAACCAGATCACCTTAACGGATTGTTACTAACATTTTAGCGTTACTCCGAAAGGATTGTAGATGGCCCATTTAACTTAATTTTAGTAATTGTTCTGCTCACGGAAATGATTTTATGAAATGCAGGTGGAGGTAACAAAAACCTACTCGCCGAGTTATACTTTCGGCATAAGGCATTCCAACTATTCCGGTTATTTACATCTAGAAACTCCGTACGATAAAGGAAGGAATATCTTTCATTATCACAGTATGTTATTATTACAAGAGCTGCACGTTTGAATTTAATTTTAAATTGCACAATTTAACTTTAAACATGGTAACTGCTTGGGCAGGCACGAACGACTTTTAGTTGAAAATTTATAATATTAGAAGACGCACTACCAAATTTTAGAAGCAGGGGAAAAAGGAGTTCTATCAAGTAAAGATTTCTCCAGCTGGCACCCCAATTCACCAAACGATCGTACGAATGGCATCTATGGTTGAACTAGAAGGAATGGTAAACCCTGACACTGGCATATAGAAGAATTGTAATTATCGTCTGAGGGGTGTTGTTCAACTATTGTTTGAAGTTACCCCTTGGTCTGCCTATCGTCGCTGATTTATTTTGGTTCAGATGCGTTTCGGCATTTCGCCATATGAACCAACAAAAATCAGCGAAGATAGATAAACTCATACAATATGTAGAAGAATTTAACCTCCTCCTTGATTATCTCTTCTATAAGACCCAGATACTTTCCCAGAAAATCGGAGGTATATGTATTTAGTTTAATCTGGCAGTGTGTGCATCCTAGATCATAGATTCAAACGGCATACGATCGGGAGTTTATCGCGGATAGCGATAAGATAAGGGCGTGCGGATCTAAAGAAAATCACTGATTTCCTTCCACGAAGGTTTGAACTACAAATTTGGAGAAGGCGCCTCTATAAATTTCTAAAAACCGAAGTATACATGATTTTAGCTTGTATGGCGGGCCCTAGACGCTCAATTATATTGCACAATATTACGAATTGCGCAATATTTTTGACCATTGAAGTTTGCTCAATGATTGAACAAAAGTTTGGCCGAGATTAATTTTTATTGCACCATATTTTTTCATTGCACCGTGTAGTGTTAATATTACGCAATATTTTTTAGTCTGATAGCTTACAACACTAGGTCACTAGGCGCAAACATTGACGCTTATGTGCCGTCAATATTATTGGAAAATAAAATTATTGTACAATTTTATATTAGATCTAGGGTCCTCCATAGGTTCTTAAGTACAGACTAGCAGCCTTGAAGGAGAGGCATAAAACTTTACTATTGAAACAACTAGAGCACCAAAAACGTCCCCTTGCTCTCGCATTGCTTTGTTCTCCATGTTATTGTGTAAATTTCACAGAAGAGACAAAATACAAAAAATTGAGCAATAAAAAGTCACTCGTGCGCGCCCTCCTTAGGAAGTTAACTTAATCCCTTTGTACTGTAGGCAATAAGTTTTTAAAAAAAAATAAAAAAAGCATCTTTTCACAAGGTGTTAGATTACACACGATCCTAGGCATGTTGTAAACGATGGATCGATTTTTGAATGATGCACATTTTAGAACTAGAAATGCACTTTTAAATGTGAATAGTTATAGAAAAAAAAAATTCACTCGTCACAAGAAACACATCTCATCAATTTCATCACAAACTTAAACCACGAGGTTAAATAATTAAACCCGTCTTTGTTATCATTTTCAGATACGCATTGATATACCACCGGCGCACACCTTCGGCATCAAGCATTCTGAATACCTTGGAAATTTGAGGAGCATGATGTGAGATCACAGAGTCGAGAGACCTTTTCGTGCGCAACTAACAACAGTACAAAAGGCTTAATCTTAATCGAAAAATATTCTGACACGGAAATAAAAACGTTTTATTCTAACAATTCTAATTGTATCGTGATTAAAACAGGGAATCCTTAAAAAAATTAGTTGATACATGTTGCAGCTAACATTTGCGTCGCTCCACAGTCAAAAATGTCAAATAACGCCCATGAAGTAGTAAACCATTTGTTATTTCCAGAAAAAAAATTATATATATTTTGTTCAATTAATATTACATTGTTTTGTTTTTAAAGCTTTTTTTAAATTAATAATAAATATAAACTGTTCTTGTAAACAATTACTCAATAAAGGCTTGAGCAGTACTTCGACTCATATTTACCCAATGGACAATTCATCAATACAAATCCTTCAATAAATGGGTAGTTTATTTGAGGTAAAACAGGGATAATAAAGAGAATTGTCTAACCCCAAAAAATCGTTTCCTTAAATACTTATGTTTTTCCCGTCAAATTAACCCTTTTAATTTAAAATTGACTAAAATTAGCGATTCTTAACATAACATTTTAAAATGTTTCTTTCTAATTTCAAAATAACTTTTTTAATTTCAAATTAACCCAAATTAGCCTTTTTTAAACTGAAAATTAACCCTTTTTAATTTCAAATGAACTCAAATTAGCGTTTTTTAACCTCACATTTACCCTTTTTATTTCCAATTAACTCAAATTAACCTTTTTTTACTTCACATTATCTCTTTTTAATTTCGCATGAACAATCATTAGGGTTTTGTAACTTAAGATTAATACTTTTTAATTTCAAAACAACCCAAATTAGCGTTTTTTTTTAAACTGCACATTAATCCATTTTAATTTCAAATTAACTCAAATTAGCGACTTTTAACCTCACATTTACCCTTTTTATTTCCAATTAACTCAAATTAACCTTATTTACTTTACATTACCCCTTAATTTCAAATGAACACAAATTACTGTTTTTAAATTAATTATTTTCAAATTAACTCAAATTAGCGTTTTTAATTTCAAATTAACTCTTTTAATTTCAAATTAACACAAATTACTGTTTTTAAGTTAATATTAACCCTTATTGTTTTCAAATTAACTCGGATTAGCGTTTTTTAACAATAACATTTGCCTTTTTAATTTCAAATTAACCCAAATTGGCGGTTTTTTTAAACTGAACATTAACCCTTTTTAATTTCCAATTAACTTGTTTAATTTCAAATTAAATCAAATAAGCTTTTTTTAACTTCACATTTACACTTTTTTATTTTCAAATTAACCTTTCTTTTACTTCACATTAACCCTTTCTTTAAAGAATTTTTAAGATTTTTCCCTCATCGGGAATATTCCAGCGTAAAAAAACCCTCTGGATTTTATCCAAACTCAACGTACGACAACCGTTGGAAAGCTGGATGTTTGCCTTTAACTTAAGGGTGGAGTACAGGTCATAAATTATGTATTTCAATATCTATGACTTAACTTCGAAACGACTCCACTGATCCATATGAAACTTTGTACGAATTTAGAACCCTACAAACAACGTTTAATGGCATAAACCGAGTCTTCGTAAATAATTTACAGCCGTAGAAATAAAATAAAATGTTTGAGCAGATTTTGTTGATTTTATTATTATTTTCACACTTAAATGCCATATTCTCCTAAACCTTGTTGACTAGGGTGAAAGCAGAATAATCCAGTTTTCCAACGGTTGTAATAAACTTAAATCTGGATAAAAAATTTAACACGATCCTTATTATTTTCTTTTCAAAAGACAAAGAGTCTAACAAACAAATACGCTATCGATAAGTATCCAAGATGTGTTTAAGCCCTTCCAGGTAAGTACCTTATAGTTGATACAATAGAGTTTATTCCATCGATACCTGGCGGTTTAATTGGAATGTATATTTTTATTTAAAGTGTTACAACTAGGAAAATACGGCAGTTATATTGTTACATTGTACGATGCGTTACATATACAGCAACGATAGGTTTTTTTTGTCATCGGGCGTAACGTTATCAAATAGATCTGTTTATTTTATCGCGTATTTCCCGTCATTGAGAAGAATAGAAAATTTTATATAAATGCTAGATGGCACAAAAAACCGAATTAATCAAAATTAATTCATCATCATGTTCAGAGGTCTAGTTCTGATCTGCTTGTTCGGCTACTGCTTGGCGGCGTGTGTGAGTACTCAATGAAATATTGGTTCGATTATTATGTAGCAATAACAATTTTTTTTTTAAATAATCAAAGAATTGAAGTTGTATTAAGTTTTTATTTGTATCAAAAACATGAAAGTTGGTATTGCGATTTTAGTAAATAAATCAAGTTTACGTTTTAACATTTTTTTATGTTCGATTCTCCACTTGAAATCTATATCACTTATACTTTTTATATTTATACTATTTTGTGAGAATTCCTCCACCCTCGGGCGATGAAAATAATGTCTGAAAATACGTCCAAATTTGTTTAAGTTGCTAGAAAATTCCTTCACTGCCTAAGCAACTGATAAACAAACATACGAAGTGACGTGATGTTCGACTTAAAATATTTCGTCAATTGTTTACAATTATTTCTTTAAAAAAATTGTATGTCTTGAGCAATTATTTATTTAAGTAAAGAAAGAGGTGATTTATATAAGCTCTATACTCTACTCTCTATTCCTCCATCACCCAATTGAGGGTCGATGTGGGCCTTCTCACACTAATAAATACTTTCACACTCATAAATAAAAACACAAGACACAATAAAATACTATAAGCAATAAAACAGCCGTCTTTATTCCCAAAATTGTAAAAAAGGATCAAAGGAGGTGATGATATTACCCTGCTGTCCAAGCTTGATCCTTACATTTACCATCCCATGACCTCGCCTCAAGACCTCATCGCCCCTTAATCCTTCATATTTACTGGCTATAGTAAGATATTCGATCAATACGCACAAGGAAGTATTATTGGTCCCATACACTGCTGACACTGCAGTGTTCTAAATTTTATCCAAGACCACCATGAGTTTTCTCATAGTAGTGTGCCAAAAGATGAGAACAAGACTGTTTGAAATCTACCCAGTCTTACCCACCACAGTGCATCAACAGCAAGGAACTACCGATTTCCTTCAATGGCAAGGTGGATTATATAATAACGTCTGAACTATGGGGTTCCGACATATCATCCAATATCCGGTGAATCCTTCCAATCAAACATCCTCAGCCAAATTCGCAAATTTTCTTAGTATGTCGCTAGCCTCACAATAACCTAACATTCCTTTTGTCAATGAACCAATCAGTTCCAGCTTCTCTATACCACGGAGTTGGTTGAGAGGAGCGAACCATTGCTGGTACTCACAGTATTTAGGTTATGTAGCTTGTCTTCCTAGGTGGTATGGAGGATTGTTTAGGGTGGGTTGATGTTGAAGTAGTGGAATCATGAGTGGATCAGGTCTGCCACAAATGGGATGTCTAGGTCTTTTTAACGTGTTGAGGATACAATGGAAAATGGAGAACTTTGGATTGATAGGATTATTTGGATGTTTGAAGGTTTGGCCTCAGTGCTTTGTAAGACCAAATCGATTCATTTGTTGTGTACTCTTAGTGCAGATTTAGATCCAAGTAGGGGTTTGAGTTGTCCATGTCTTTAATTGAGCACTGTCCAAGTACTCAAGGATTTGGTCGGATAGTTATTTACTTATTGTTATTAGATTTGTCTTCTGTGTTTGAACATCACCTGACTTTGCTCAGTTAGCTTATGCACAAGTGCACCAGACTATTAACGAAGTCTACGTGTTCTTGGACTGCTAGTATAAGAAGAAAGTGTGAGGAGAGGATTGTCCCATCTGTGACGGTTGTGATTTGGTTGTTATGGTGTAATAATGCTCATGAAAGTTCAGATTGAAATTGAAGATACAAGTTTGTAGGACTTTCCTAAATGGACTCATACTAGCCATCCCCAATATCCAGAAACACCTCAAGCTCATCAAAGATTGGTGTAAAATAATGAAAGATTGGACAAATGCATCCAAATCAGTATTACATTTTAACAAATTTTCCCTAGAATATACCCCATCAAAAAGATATACTGAAATCCACACAGATAAAATACTTAGACAGTGGCTGATTTGGAATCGCCACATGTGACCAAAGTGACAAGAACTGAATGAAAGATTTGGACTACAAAGAAAACTGCTTGTACCAAAATCAGACATGATTGTAAAAAATAAACTAACACTGTACCAAGGAACCACGAGCATCCAAGTATACCTTAAATTTATCAAAGATTGGTGCAGAAAGTGGAGGACAAGACTGAATGAGGAAAAATGTACCCAATCTTGCCCTCTACTGCACATCAACAATAAGGAGCAACGTAATCAAGTCAGATACTTAGGACTATTCCTAGACAGCAGACTGAAATGACAGCAAGAGTATCGGCCGAGGCTGACTTCTCAAGACACGTGCCCTCCGGGAACTGTGTTGAGCATAGCCCCAGTGATGCTGGTTAAGAAACAATCCGAAATTTTTCAATCAACTCAATGACAAATTAAATATTTCACTCGTTTTGATTGGCCTTTGACATCTTAATCTGTCAATTCTTACTGAATTTTGCATTCACCCTTGCCTCGTTTTTTCACTTCTCTTGAAAATCAGATGAGTTGAATTCCATGTCGCTTTTAGGTTGTCCTTAGTGGTATTAGTTGGGGGCAGTCAGGACCTATTCATTGAGTTGTTGGTGGTTAATGGTTCACAATTGAATTATTCCAACAGAACGTTCGATGGATAGAAAATGTAACAACTACTGGGGATTAAGTTGAAAATAAGTAGAACTTTCATTTACCACCGTTCTATTGGTCTAAATTTTAATAGAAGTTGATACATTGTTATTATTGTAATTTTTTAATAATAAACATTCGATTTTACAGGATTATACTCTGACAATTACAAATTACAAGAAGTGTGACAAAAAAGAAGGAATCACTGTGGATAAAGTAACCGCTAAACTGAATGACAAGTGTAATCTTCAGTTCACAGGCTGTGCAAAATTAACTAAACCATTCAAATCAATAGATGTAAGAAATATGTTTTCTTTATTGTTCATATTGGCTACAAAAACACTTTTTCATATAAAATGCCTTAATCATTTTTTAGATCAAGTATAAAGGGATTAAAAACGGTATCCCTGTAATAACTGGAACCAAAAAAGGATGCGGATTTAAATATGACGATTTTGAAGTCAAGTGCCCTATAAAATCAGTGAGTTTTTAATATTCATATTTAGAAAAAGGGAAATATAATTTTTTAAAGTAATCTTACTTGTAATTTGCTATTTTGAGACAAACACTCTACTTCTTCTCTTCAAATTAAAAGTAATTTATTAAATAGGTTTGAAATAAATAAATGCAAATTTTAAAAAGGCCCTAATTTTTATTGTACTTGAAGAAATGTCAGAATGGTCATTATTCTAACAGTCGCATGGGTTTCTGCTAATGATCCTAATCGGTGAAAAAGGTTCGCCAGTTATTCTGTACAATGATGACTTTAAACCAAACAGGGAGTAAAGTATAAAAGAAATTATGACATTTTTTCATTGGGTCTGTTGGGTTTCCTCTGAATTTCTGTTCTTCAGACAAAATTTTGAAACTCTAGCTTCTTTTCCCCTAAATGACAGCTTTATTAAGCACATTTTACTTTCAGCCTACAGAATATTGCGCAAAACCGAACTGGGAATTTGAAATACCAAAAGAAGGGCTGGGAATGGCAGTAGGCAAGCTGAAAGGAACTGTTGATGTCGTAACAGATGGGAAAGAACACTTTTGTTTCGAAGGAAATGGAGAGATTAAGAAAAAGTAATCACCAAGTAATGGATATTTTAAAAAAAGTGTGTCATCTCCAATACATAATAAAAATGTATGTGTGTTTTCTACAATTCTCCTTTTTCCTGTGTACTTTATCCTGTATTTAGAAAAGAAATTTTTTACATTGGGTTTTTATTGAAAATTATGCATGCTAGGAAAAAACAGTTTATTATTGCATTTTTTCTCAAGACAGTAAACTATCAATCATTAATTAGTTATTAATAATATAATTATGCAAATACACATGCATATGCACAGAATTGAGCTTATGACTTACCAACCTCAGGTTTTGGCAATCCGGGGTCAAACTTATCTTGCCACTAGAGTTAGGCTCCAAGGACCAGGACAGCTAGGTCATTTGAGCTCCCAAAGCATGCAAGTTTTAATCAAACACACTCACTCATTTTTAATTAATGCCAATTTACATACCATTCAGTCAGTGTGTTGGAAAACCACCCTTGACACATACGAATAAAATTGAGGGTCGCTGGGGTTAGTATGTTAGTATTCCACCAATGGCCCTCTAAAATTAAACATTCACACTAATAAATACATTCACATAAAAAAGAAACAAAAGATATCTAAGTACGATATACAAGTTATTCCCAAGAACCAAACAGGGTACCTAAAGACTCGCTGCCTTGTTGAAACATAGTTCTCATATAGGGTGGTATTTCTGCTCTCCATCCATTTTATGCTTATAAATATAAAATGTATAATAATTGCACTAATTAAATTATTTATGTAATCTCTACTTTAAATAACCAATGCTGAATATTTAATGTAATTGGAAGAATCATGCTTTTTAGAAAAAATTATTATAAAAATAGAGTGTGGCTATGTATGAATGGTCAGGTCTGTCGACTAATATCGAATACTACACAGGCCCGTCAAACAAGTTATGTTAATTAGTATAATGGATACTGTAACTTTATAAATCTGGTATAAGCAGTTAAATATTTTTTACGATGATTAAAATATATATTATGGGTTTGTTGTTGATTATTGATACCTTGACAAGCAGGAATAGTTTAGGAATGGTAAGTTCCCACCAATTCATGCATAGGAGTCCACCTACAGTTTTTTTTCCGTAGCATCACACACCAGAATACTTTAAAAAAAACTAGGGATAGGGGTAGAGGATATGGATAAAAAAGGCGGTCACAAGGGCTACGGCACCTCAACCTGAATGGTTCTATTGTGCTCCCCTGTTATTTATTCCTCACTGGCCACCTCCAGGTTATTAATCAGCCTCCATGCTTTACCAGCAGCTCTTTAGTGTAGGATCTTGCATGTAGTTTTTCTTGACCTAGTTGCAAGCACCTGCAACTGCATACACCTTCACAGAAACATAGAACGTGTTCTACCATCTCCTCCTCTACCTAGAAGTATCTGTTCACTGTTTCTTCTGTCTGTACTCCTATCCGGCGCATGCGCCTTCTTAAGTGGGAGAACCCTGTCAGGAGTCCAGTCAGAATTCTGGTTCGGTTGCGGTTGCCTTCCAGTAATTCCTTTGTAAATTTTGTAGATGGCCCTTCTATGAATCTCTTTGTGCGCCTCGTGCCTGTGGTATTATTCCACCAGGTTTTGGACTCATTAATGATCCATTTTAAGATGTATCCTCTTTTGTGGGAGGATGCTAAGCCACAGTGAGGTTCAGGACCTAGAGAGTTCATGTTGCCTCTATGCCTCGAATGCCCAGGGATCCATGCTAGAGTCAGGTCACTAGTGTCACTGACTGCCATCAGGGCCTCCATGCAGTTCCAAACACTCTTTGCCTTCACCTCCCATGAGGCTAGGGGCCTTTAGTGCTGCCTGACTGTCAGAACTATGGCTGCCTTCCTGGAATGTATTCCTGACCTTTTTATTTCCCTGGTGCAGTGTTCAATCGCTATGATTTCAGCCTGGAAAACTGTAGGGTTCAGGACCCAGAGAGTCCATGTTGGCCCCCTTTTTGGCCATGTCAACTCTTTTGTTGCCTCTATGCCATGAGAAAAAAACACGAAATAATTCGATTTTTAGCATTTTTCGACTTGTGGTGTGCGATATATTGCCTTATAAAATAAAATTAAGCTGTAAGAATTAGGGAAATTTATATTAACATAGTTGATTCCAGCAAATAGAACGACGAAATAAAAATACGGAAAATTTCAACTTTTAAAATATTTGGCGAAACCATTCACAGAAATTGGAGGTGTCCAATATTTTAGAGTGTAGACTCACCAAAAAATGTTTGGTCCAAATCCGTGACCGACCAACATTCATGTTAGTTTGTCCAGTCTCCACGTGCCGGCTCCAACTTCTAAGCGGGTAGCTCGGCCTCTGTGGCCGGTAGGTTTCACTTCTGCCGTTGCTCTTCTATTGTCGACTGTCAAGATTCCGATAGGAGGCCTCGACATAAGAGTGAAATTCACCTTGAACTCCTTCTTTTCCACCCCGCCAAAATGCTATTCAAAACTGGTAAGTGACCAATTTTTTTAAAAAATTTTATTTCGTCTACTGGGTAAAAAAACGCCTCTCGGCCGCCACCGAGACCTGACGCGGCAACGCCTCTTCTTCGCCTTTCGCGTCTGATCAAAAACATTCTTAATAATATTTATGAGCCGAAGAGGGCGTACGACAAAAAATTGTAGACGTACGCAATTTTGTTGACGTCTCCAATTTTTTGTCGGCTCCTCCCGTCCGAGAGGTGTTCCAAAATAATATTTACCTTTCACTCTTCGGCAGAATAACCGACACATTCAGAATTTAGAATGACACATAAAATCATAAAGATCGATTTTAAACAAGAGAGGTTAAAATACGAGAACAGGTGTTTAAAACTTCAATATTCAAATTAAGATTTTTGTTTTAAAAAAATATCTAACATCCGATAAAAAAATACATAAACAATTCTTGTCGGGCTCCGCCTCTTTGAAATGCATGTTTTTAATGTCAAACGCAACTATTTACAGTTACAGTACCCATTATTTGATTCTTCTTAGTCACAGTTTGATGTCTGCCCCTTTTAGAATTTTTGTCTCCGGGGTTATGAACCTCCAATTGGATTAAAGGTCTTGGTTCTCCTATTTTCGCTGTGTTAGTCTATCAGACATTACAGATCTCGAGTGCGTGTGCCCACACCCGGATAATCCGAGGTTTTGGAATAATCCTTGCATACTGCTTGAAATCTTGCCAACAGCTAGGTCATTTGCGTGGCGTACACTTTTAGTGGACTAGTGGAACCGTTGTTTGAAGTCTATGCAGCGAGCGAAGGACCTAGTGCAGTAGGTGAGAGTGCGAGGATCAGTACTGCGAGTTGCTGTAGCTACTTGCAGCTGGCTCAATTGGTGAGGGTTGTTTGAGATCTCGTCGATGAGCCTGCATTAAGCAGGTTCTTATACGAGGTGGGGCAAGCTCTTTGGCAATGGTGACGTTGGCGATGTGGATAACGAATAACCCACAGCTCTTCACCACATAGCTCCCCCCAAGGATTATGCCTCTTTAAGCGGCAGGTCAATGAATTGAAGAGTGTTATTTGCAGCGTGTCCCTCCCAATCACCAAAAACCTTCTAAGGAACATCATCACGTCGTGCAGTCACAACTTTTTTTGGCCCTGAGAAGGACCGGTGTAGTGAGTGGAGCTGTTTGTTGAAGTCTGTGGATTGATGCCGATGAGTCGGATGTTGTCGTAGCGAGTGAAGCGCCGCCTGCTGCAGACAGCTTCGTCGGCTGTTGAGAGTGCGAGAGAATCCTTTTAGACAATGCTTGCGGCTTGCTCTATTAGTGAGTGTTGTTTGAGATCTCATCGATGATCGATGAGCCTGCATTAATCAGGTTGAACCCCTGCTTATGTACAGAGGTTATTGGCATGGAAGATGAAACCATTGTTGAAGCAGTGATGATACCTAGTGGATAAATAGTCACTACATAACTACCCCCAAGCTTCTCCAATCGTCAGGCCAATGAATTGCGTGTTCTTTCCAGCGCGTTTCTCTCAGTCACCAAAAATGTTCTCAGGAACATAATCACGTAGAACAGTCATCATTATAGCGACTGTAGTTTAGGTGGCCCTCGGAAGAGCCGGTGTTGTGAATTGAGATGTTACCTACGCGGACGATGCCGTAATTTTGTCCTCTAAATCGAAACCCAGCAAGCTAGCTCTAACATTCAAGAAGACTGGTACAAAAGTGACCAACAGTGAATGTTCACATTGATAAAAATAAATGCTTAGGACTATACGTAGATAGGACGTGAAATCCCGACACAAGACTTAGGAGACAACAATTTAACAGAAGACTTGGACAATTAGAAGACTTCTAGGACCGAATTCTGTCTTGACCATCAAAACTGATCTAACCATATAGAAGACTTTAGTGCGTAAATTAACTAAAATCCAGAGCATCCAAACCTTCCAATATAAAGCCCTCAGACAAATAGTAAAAGCTTCTTACTACGTTTCCTTACATCACCAACCTCACAATGACCTCACATTCCTTTTGTCAACGGACTGATCCGTGCTTGATTCCAAAAGTTCCCACCAATCTTTCGATCCATCCTAACCACACTGCTCGAGCACTCTCTACACATTCCCATTCCGAGAACCCGCCACGTTGGCTTAATCGAATATGGCATCGAGACCTCTTTGCCCCTTATCCCTCCACACCGAGTGTCAGAATTGGCCGGTATCTCATGACATATGTTCTCTGGGTCAGATCTGACATTACTGGAAGTCCTGTGACCGTGTGAAAAAAAATTATATTCACATTTGTGATATTTACGAATAATTGTTGGTTAAAATTGCTAAGACAGAATTATATATCTGCTATGTCCAGATATAATTAATTAGCAACTCAGCTATTAGGCACAATTCATGCTCAATTATTTTCGATGGATGTAAACATTGATTATCAAAATAGTTTTATTAGGAGGAACGTTGGAACGATTTTGGCGATATTGGGTCCTTCTAAAAGGAGGATAAGTGTAGGCAAGGGGCGTTTTGACCCCTTTCGTTTCATTACACTTTAAAGCAACAGAGTAGGAAACTGACCGTATTTTCAGTTTATCCTTCATGTAATATTCATAAATTAAGCCTCAAATACCCACTGAGTTTCACGAAAATATTCTTATTTTACGTTAAACTCCTCAATGGTTTTACTGTTTTTCGTGTATACGTAAACATTTCAATATTATTTCTACTTGACATATATTGACTATCATATGAAATATCATATATAGTTTTTCAGAAACGTTTACCAAATACAATTTCATTCAAAACATTCTATAATAACTTTTTGTACTACTACCACTATGGTCAGATGGCCAGTACTGGGTACATTTTAAGAGAAAGCAGTCAACGCCGGAACTGAATATGACGGATTAAGGGGCGAGGAGGTCTAGCTAAGACTTAAGCACTAGGGTTAGGATGGATCGAGTACATTTTTTCCGACAGTCAGGCGGTACAGGGCAAGCGAGTTAAAGGCAAAAAGCGTGAAGGAATCCCCGGTAGAAGTCAGTGACTCCAATGACTTGACCGAGGCATGGATATTCGGGACATAGAGGCAATGAGGGGGTGGATATGTTGGCCAATATGAATTATCTAGCCCCCGAATACTATTGTGGTCTACCACCTTGCCAATAAAGGATACATCCAAAAATTGATTCTTAACGAGTCAAAAACCTGGTGGAACAATACCACAGGCATGAGGCACGCTTAGAGATTCATAGAAGGGCCATCTGCAAGATTTACAAAGGAATTACTGGAAGGCAACCGCAACAAAACCAGGATTCTGGTTGGACTCCTGGCGGGCACAGTCGCCGGATAGGAGTGCAGATAGAAGAAACAATGTGCAGGAAGAGGAGGAGACCGCAGAACACATTCTATGTTTCTGTGAAGGTCTATGTAGGTGCAGGTTCTTATAACTAGGACAAGAAAAACCACATGCAATATCCTACACTAAGGAGCTGCTGGTAAGGCTATGGACGCTGATTAATAACCTGAAGCTGGCCAGTGATTTATAAAACTAAAGGAGCACAATAGATCTGCTCACGTCTAGGTGCAGAAGGCTTTGTGACCACCTCTTTTATCCCTATCCGTATCCCTAGGATGGATCGAAAGCTTGGTGTGGAACTTTTGGAAGCTGGAACATATAGGTTGGTTGACAAAGTAATGTTGAGGTTATGGTGAGGTTAGTGACGTGCCAAGGAGCTTTGACAATTTGTTTGAGGACTTTTGATTCGAAGGATCCGCTGGATATTGGATTACCTGTTGGAACACCACACTCCCACTCTGATTTGATCTACCTTTACATTGGTGTAAGTCGGCAGCTCATTGTTAATGTACAGTGGTGGGCAAGACCTCGTAGATTTCAATCAGTCTCCCCCTTAACCTTTGTCACTGTGATAAGATCATCGTGATCGTGGATAGAATTTAGAAGACAGAATTGGAGGGTCATCAGTGTGATGTACAGGTGTCAGCAGTGTAAATGATGTACAGAACACATACGGACACCGGCTTGATTTGACTATCTGTGTATAGGCAGTTAATATGAGGGATCAAGGTGCCAGGAGGTCTCGAGGCGGGTTCTTCGGATGGTAAGAGTAGCTATTAGTACTACAAGTAGAGATCAAGTAGCTGCTTTAGTGCCTACTACCGATGAGATAGTTGCCTTTAGTGTCTACTTCGGTAGACACACCCGATCCCGTTTTTTCACAGGTTTTGTTTGGGCACTATCGTATGCCCTGAAAAATTAGTCCTCATCTAGTTGATTTTTGTTTTGTTTTTTGAGCCTGGACTTTTTCTACCTTAAATACTTGATTCCTCGATAATATACAAAAAGATTGTAGATAGACGTAAAGGTCTTTCTAAAGTTTATAATTGGTACCTGGTACCAGCGTTTGCGTATCATTCTCTCAATAGAAAAACAGTATGGAATGAACGATTAAGTTTGAAATAATCTAACGACACGTTTGACCCGGTCTTGTAACATTTCTTCGATTGCACGTAACTCTCCGCCCAAGTGGAACATAAAATCCTAATTGCTTCTGGAGATATTGATAGGTCGAGGAGTTATCGAGCGCAGGCGCGCATCATTCGCAAGAACGACTGCGAAATTCTAACACCTTTAAATGGAATTGTCGATGGGATTTTTGAAAGAAACATAGAAGGAAATAGAAAAAAAAAGTTCTATTTCATCCACATCTGTAGAAATGCGAGACCCTTTTGTGCTGACCGTTCCTGAAATGTCAGTCCTCATTATCATTTTAATTTACTATCCTTGCTAGATTAATTTGATACTTATATCATTGTACTTTTAACTTCAAATTAAGTAATAAATTAATTAAAAAATATAACAAATTATTACAATGAACATTAATCGAAATCGCAGGACCTTTGATTAAAACGGAAACACTGCGGTCGGAATTAAAAAGGATCGCATGGCCCCAAAGGGACCTTCGGTGGGGGTCAACCTTTATGACAA